GGGCGCAGCAATGGAAAGGGCCCTTTTAAAATCGGGCCGGCACCGCTTTTAAAAAATTTTCCTTACAAAACCTGCAGGTTAGGGGGCCCCAAAATTCCCGCCCCCAGGGAAAAATTTTGGGAAAACCCAGAAATGGGGGGCCGGGAAAGGGACCCATAGAGACTCGGGGCCTGGCAGCAGCATGAGGGGCGGTATATAGGGGCCATGGCAGATTAGGGGCCTGGCAGGCTGCTTGGGAGTCCCCGTAATATGGCCAGCATCCTATGTCAAAAATTCAACACACCAGCACATGTGTGAGGAGACTGAAGAGTGGGCACATGGCTTATGAGAGAATGTGGACCTGGCAGATATGCATGAGGAGGCGGTGGTTTTGCGGTGGGTATAGGGGTCCATGGCAGATTAGGGGCCTGGCAGCAAGGCTATGGGAGGCCAGTTAATCTGCCAGCAACGTCACTATGTCAAAAAATTTCAACCACACCAGCAGTGTGTGGAGGATGACCTGAAAGTGGGCACATGGCAGTGGTTGTTGGCGATGGAGACAGCCTGCAATGGGAGGGCCGTACTGGGACCGCATGACAGACTATGGACCTGGCACGCAGCATGAGGACGGCGGTATTTTTTTGGGGCACATGCAAGCAGATTAAGGGGCCTGGCACAGCAGCTATAGGGAGGGCCCGTTAATCTGTCCTGCACCCTATGTCAAAAAAAAATTCAAACACACCAGACAGTGTGTGGAGGAGACGCATGAAAGTGGCCAACATGGCAGGAGGCTGTGGCGGATGTGAGACAGCATGCAAATGGAGGCCCATTACAGGGACCCAGACACAGACTACTGGAGAGGCCTGTGCAGCAGCATCAGAGATAGGCGGTATAAAATAGGGGGCCCACATGGAACAGATTATGGGCCTGGCAGCATTCACATTGAGCCGGACAGGACCCGTTGAGAACTCTGCCAGCACTCCTATGTCAAATAATTCTAAAGTAAGGCCAGCCAGCATTGGTGTGTGAGGAGGACCTGAAAGTGGCACATTGGTCAGAGTGTTGGCAATGGCGACAGCACATTAAATGGGAGGCAGAGTACAGGGACCCATGACAGACTCTGGACTGCATGGTACAGGACCCATGCAACTCCAGATTAGGGGCCTGGCAGCAGCTATGGGAGGGCCCGTAATCTGGCCCGTAATTCTGCCCAGCTCCCTATGTCAAAAAATTCTACACACACCAGCAGCATGAGGTGGAGGAGACCTGAAAGTGGCACCATGGCAGAGTGGTGGCGATGGAGACAGCAGCAATGGGGCAGGCGGTGTGGGACAGGGACATGCTTGATGAAGACTCTGGGACTTGGCAGCGAGCATGAGGAGGCGGGTATATAGGGGCCACATGGCAGATTAGGGGGCCTGGCAGCAGCTAAGGAGGCCCGTAATCTGCCAGCACCCTATGTGTCAAAAAATTCTACACACCAGCAGTGTGTGAGGAGACCTGAAAGTGCACATGGCAGAGTGTGGCGATGGAGACAGCAGCAATGAGGCCGTACAGGGACCCATGAGAGACTCTGGACTCTGGCAGCAGCATGAGGAGGCGGTATATAGGGGCCCATGGCAGATTAGGGGCCTGGCAGCAGCTATATGGGGCCCGTAATCTGCCAGCACCCTATGTCAAAAAATTTCTACACACCAGCAGTGTGTGAGGAGACCTGAAAGTGGCACATGGCAGAGTGTGGCGATGGAGACAGCAGCAATGGGAGGCCGTACAGGGACCCATGAGAGACTCTGGACCTGGCAGCAGCATGAGGAGGCGGTATATAGGGGCCCATGGCAGATTAGGGGCCTGGCAGCAGCTATGGGAGGCCCGTAATCTGCCAGCACCCTATGTCAAAAAATTCTACACACCAGCAGTGTGTGAGGAGACCTGAAAGTGGCACATGGCAGAGTGTGGCGATGGAGACAGCAGCAATGGGAGGCCGTACAGGGACCCATGAGAGACTCTGGACCTGGCAGCAGCATGAGGAGGCGGTATATAGGGGCCCATGGCAGATTAGGGGCCTGGCAGCAGCTATGGGAGGCCCGTAATCTGCCAGCACCCTATGTCAAAAAATTTCTACACACCAGCAGTGTGTGAGGAGACCTGAAAGTGGCACATGGCAGAGTGTGGCGATGGAGACAGCAGCAGCAATGGTGAGGAGGCCGGTGGCACACAGGGACCCATGAGAGACTCTGGACCTGGCAGCAGCAGCATGAGGAGGCGGTATATAGGGGGCCCATGGCAGATTAGGGGCCTGGCAGCAGCTATGGGAGGCCCGTAATCTGCCAGCACCCTATGTCAAAAAAATTCTACACACCAGCAGTGTGTGAGGAGACCTGAAAGTGGCACATGGCAGAGTGTGGCGATGGAGACAGCAGCAATGGGAGGCCGTACAGGGACCCATGAGAGACTCTGGACCTGGCAGCAGCATGAGGAGGCGGTATATAGGGGCCCATGGCAGATTAGGGGCCTGGCAGCAGCTATAGGAGGCCCGTAATCTGCCAGCACCCTATGTCAAAAAATTCTACACACCAGCAGTGTGTGAGGAGACCTGAAAGTGGCACATGGCAGAGTGTGGCGATGGAGACAGCAGCAGCAATGGGAGGCCGTATAGGGACCCATGAGAGACTCTGGACCTGGCAGCAGCATGAGGAGGCGGTATATAGGGGCCCCATGGCAGATTAGGGCCCTGGCAGCAGCTATGGGAGGCCCGTAATCTGCCAGCACCCTATGTCAAAAAATTCTAACACACCAGCAGTGTGTGAGGAGACCTGAAAGTGGCACATGGCAGAGTGTGGCGATGGAGACAGCAGCAATGGGAGGCCGTACAGGGACCCATGAGAGACTCTGGACCTGGCAGCAGCATGAGGAGGCGGTTATATAGGGGCCCATGGCAGATTAGGGGCCTGGCAGCAGCTATAGGAGGCCCGTAATCTGCCAGCACCCTATGTCAAAAAATTCTACACACCAGCAGTGTGTGAGGAGACCTGAAAGTGGCACATGGCAGAGTGTGGCGATGGAGACAGCAGCAATGGGAGGCCGTATAGGGACCCATGAGAGACTCTGGACTTGGCAGCAGCATGAGGAGGCGGTATAAAAGGGGCCCATGGCAGATTAGGGGCCTGGCAGCAGCTATGGGAGGCCCGTAATCTGCCAGCACCCTATGTCAAAAAATTCTACACACCAGCAGTGTGTGAGGAGACCTGAAAGTGGCACATGGCAGAGTGTGGCGATGGAGACAGCAGCAATGGGAGGCCGTACAGGGACCCATGAGAGACTCTGGACCTGGCAGCAGCATGAGGAGGCGGGTATATAGGGGCCCATGGCAGATTAGGGGCCTGGCAGCAGCTATAGGAGGCCCGTAATCTGCCAGCACCCTATGTCAAAAAATTCAACACACCAGCAGTGTGTGAGGAGACCTGAAAGTGGCACATGGCAGAGTGTGGCGATGGAGACAACCCACCGACTGTTTTGCTCGCTGCCAAGCTGCCACCCCTCTTCTCCTGATGATGCGGAAGCAATAGCCTGATGACGACGAGGCTGCCAAGTGCGATCAGCCTCATCATCATCAATTAGGGTCTCCGCCTCACTACTAGCCCCCTCGGCTGCGTGTGTGGGGTCAGGAGACAGACCTGTCTCTAGCACCGGCTACCGAGCCACTCTCCTCGCCACTACTTCTTCTTCTGCCTGGCTGCTGAAGAGGCGGATGTCTCCCCCCGTTCCTGACCGCCCTCTGTTAGCTCTTCCTCACTGTACTGGATGACACCGGGAGCACTAGCCTCTGGCTGCGAATAGTGCTGCCTCGACCCCTTCCTCTACTGCCACGTTTGCTCGCTCCTAAAACATTGCCTCCTCTGCCACTCCTCTGCATGTTGTCTGACATACTCTTTAATTAAACGATTCTGTGTCCCTGAGTAACAATTCTGTGTCCCTGAGTAACGTTTCTGTGGCCCTAAGTAACAGTTCTGTGGCCCTAAGTAACAGTTCTGTAGCCCTCAGTAACAATTCTGTGTCTGTCCTGAGTAACAATTCTGTGTCCCTCAGTAACAATTCTGTGTCCCTCAGTAACAATTCTGTGTCCCTCAGTAACAATTCTGTGTCCCTCAGTAACAATTCTGTGTCCCTGAGTAACAGTTCTGTGTCCCTGAGTAACAGTTCTGTGGCCCTAAGTAACAGTTCTGTGTCTGTCCCTGAGTAACAATTCTGTGTCCCTCAGTAACAATTCTGTGTCCCTCAGTAACAATTCTGTGTCCCTGAGAGTAACAATTCTGTGGCCCTCAGTAACAATTCTGTGTCCCTCAGTAACAATTCTGTGTCCCTGAGTAACAATTCTGTGTCTGTCCCTGAGTAAGAATTCTGTGTCTGTCCCTGAGTAACGTTTCCGTGGCCCTAAGTAACGTTCTGTGGCCCTCAGTAACAATTCTGTGGTGGCCCTAAGTAACAGTTCTGTGGCCCTCAGTAACAATTCTGTGTCCCTGAGTAACAATTCTGTGGCCCTAAGTAACGGTTTGTGGCCCTCAGTAACAAATTCTGTGTCCCTGTGTAACAATTCTGATTCTGTGTCTGTGCGAGTAACAATTCTGTGGCCCTAAGTAATGGTTCTGTGGCCCTCAGTAACAGTTCTGTGTCCCTGAGTAACAATTCTGTGTCTGTGCGAGTAACAATTCTGTGGCCCTAAGTAACAGTTCTGTGGCCCTCAGTAACAGTTCAGTGTCCCTGAGTAACAATTCTGTGTCTGTGCGAGTAACAATTCTGTGGCCCTAAGTAACAGTTCTGTGGCCCTCAGTAACAATTCTGTGGCCCTAAGTAACGGTTCTGTGGCCCTCAGTAACAATTCTGTGTCCCTGTGTAACAATTCTGTGTCTGTGCGAGTAACAATTCTGTGGCCCTAAGTAACAGTTCTGTGGCCCTCAGTAACAGTTCTGTGTCCCTGAGTAACAATTCTGTGTCTGTGCGAGTAACAATTCTGTGGCCCTAAGTAACAGTTCTGTGGCCCTCAGTAACAGTAAACAATTCTGTGGCCCTAAGTAACGGTTCTGTGGCCCCTCAGTAACAATTCTGTGTCCCTGTGTAACAATTCTGTGTCTGTGCGAGTAACAATTCTGTGGCCCTAAGTAACAGTTCTGTGGCCCTCAGTAACAGTTCTGTGTCCCTGAGTAACAATTCTGTGTCTGTGCGAGTAACAATTCTGTGGCCCTAAGTAACAGTTCTGTGGCCCTCAGTAACAATTCTGTGTCCCTGAGTAACAATTCTGTGGCCCTAAGTAACCGTTCTGTGGCCCTCAGTAACAATTCTGCATCCCTGTGTAACAATTCTGTGTCTGTGCGAGTAACAATTCTTTGGGCCCTAAGTAACAGTTCTGTGTCCCTGAGTAACAATTCTGTGTCTGTGCAAGTAACAATTCTGTGGCCCTAAGTAACAGTTCTGTGTGGCCCTCAGTAACAGTTCTGTGTCCCTGAGTAACAATTCTGTGTCTGTGCGAGTAACAATTCTGTGGCCCTAAGTAAACAGTTCTGTGGCCCTCAGTAACAATTCTGTGTCCCTGAGTACAATTCTGTGGCCCTAAGTAACGGTTCTGTGGCCCTCAGTAACAATTCTGTGTCCCTGTGTAACAATTCTGTGTCTGTGCGAGTAACAATTCTGTGGCCCTAAGTAACGGTTCTGTAGCCCTCAGTAACAGTTCTGTGTCCCTGAGTAACAATTCTGTGTCTGTGCGAGTAACAATTCTTTGGCCCTAAGTAACAGTTCTGTGGCCCTCAGTAACAGTTCTGTGTCCCTGAGTAACAATTCTGTGTCTGTGCGAGTAACAATTCTGTGGCCCTAAGTAACAGTTCTGTGTCCCTGAGTAACAATTCTGTGTCTGTGCGAGTAACAATTCTGTGGCCCTAAGTAACAGTTCTGTGGCCCTCAGTAACAGTTCTGTGTCCCTGAGTAACAATTATGTGTCTGTGCGAGTAAACAATTCTGTGGCCCTAAGTAAACAGTTCTGTGGCCCTCAGTAACAATTCTGTGGCCCTAAGTAACGGTTCTGTGGCCCTCAGTAACAATTCTGTGGCCCTAAGTAACAATTCTCTGGCACTCAGTAACAATTCTGTCTGTCCCTGAGTAAGAATTCCTCTGGCCCTAACTAGCGTTTCTTTTCCCTAAGTAACGATTCTGTGGCCCTCACTAACAATTCTGTGTCCCTGAGTAATGGTTCTCTGTCCCTAAGTAACGTTTTCTCTGTCCCCAAGTATCGTTTCTGTGGCCCTAACTCTGTCCCTAATACAGAGCGGTCTGCCTCTGTTCAATGACTGCAGGCAAATGAAGAATTCCAAAATGGCCGCTATTTATAGCTCGACCATTACACAGTGCTGGCTGGCTGGCTGCTGATTGGCTGATGTGATCACATGTCATTGAGGAATGCATTATGGGTCAGCGCGCCCTTGTCTGCGCGCCTTCCCAGACATCCCCGCTCCGTCGCCGCACATGTCCGCCGCCATTTTCCGCCGCCATTTTCGGAAAAATTTCGATTCTCGCGTCCGAAGTAGGCTATTTTTCGGATCGAAATTTTTCCGATATTTGACTCGAATTCCACTTCGGCTACTTCGATTCGCTCATCTCTAATCATAATTAGAGATGAGCGAATCGAACTCGGCGAAGTGGAATTCGTTTCGAATATTAGGAAAATTTTGATTCGCGACGAATCCGAAAATTAGCAGACTTCGGAATTTTTCCTAAAATTTTTCCTAAAATGGCGGCGACATGTGCGGCGACGGAGCGGGGATGTCTGGGAAGGCGCGCAGACAAGGCGCGCTGACCCATAATGCATTCATTCATGACATGTGATCGCATTAGCCAATCAGCAGCCAGCCAGCCAGCACTGTGTAATGGTCGAGCTATAAATGGCGGCCATTTTAGAATTCTCCATTTGCCTCCAGTCATTCAAGAGAGGCAGACCTGGCTGTATTGAGGGAGAGAGTTAGGGACACAGAAACGTTACTTAGGGCCAGAGAACGTTACTTAGGGACACAGAAACGTTACTTAGGGACACAGAAACGTTACTTAGGGCCACAGAAACGTTACTTAGGGCCACAGAAACGTTACTTAGGGCCACAGAATCGTTACTTAGGGACACAGAAACGTTACTTAGGGCCACAGAAACGTTACTTAGGGCCAAACGTTACTTAGGGCCACAGAAACGTTACTTAGGGCCACAGAATTGTTACTTAGGGCCACAGAATCGTTACTTAGGGCCACAGAAACGTTACTTAGGGCCACAGAAACGTTACTTAGGGCCACAGAATCGTTACTTAGGGACACAGAAACGTTACTTAGGGCCACAGAAACGTTACTTAGGGCCACAGAATCGTTACTTAGGGACACAGAACCGTTACTTAGGGCCACAGAAACGTTACTTAGGGACACAGAATTGTTACTCAGGGACAGACACAGAATTGTTACTGAGGGACACAGAATTGTTACTGAGGGGGACACAGAATTGTTACTGAGGGACACAGAATTGTTACTCAGGGACAGACACAGAATTGTTACTCAGGGACAGACACAGAATTGTTACTCAGGGACACAGAATTGAATTGTTACTCAGAATTGTTACAGGGACAGACACAGAATTGTTACTCAGGGACAGACACAGAATTGTTACTCAGGGACAGACACAGAATTGTTACTGAGGGACAGACACAGAATTGTTACTGAGGGACACAGAATTGTTACTGAGGGACACAGAATTGTTACTCAGGGACACAGAATTGTTACTCAGGGACACAGAATTGTTACTCAGGGACAGACACAGAATTGTTACTCAGGGACAGACACAGAATTGTTACTCAGGGACAGACACAGAATTGTTACTGAGGGACACAGAA